AAATCTCGGTCTGTCTTGGGAACAAAATGATTGTAAAACCAGTTCTTAAATAGAGCGGTATCCAGCCAGGCATTTTTTTTAATTTTTATACCACACTGGAATAGCGTTGGGACATACGTGTTTAAATGCTCTTGGTGTAGCTGATTTTACGATTAACGACGAAGGAAGTTTGTGTGTACCGGAAGCATTGCTACAAGCAAGGATAGTCACGCGTTCTTTACTGCGTTTGTAACCAGGAGCTCCAGGTTCTTGTTTTGAAGCTAAACTTTTCGCCAGTAACATTTTATAGTGTAGGCCCGCTTCGTCGCAGTTGTAAATTTGTTCTGGATTTAAACCATACTGCCATTAATTCTTTAAAATGTTCTCCAAATTTTAATGCAGAGGACTTATCGGCAAATAACTTTTCTCCGCAAAATTTTAATTCTCGTATACCGTGTCGTTTTTTCCATCGGCCAACCATCACTGGCTGTAAAGTTGTCAGGCGCCTCAATACCCTGCAATTCTTCACTCAAGTTAACTGCCTTTTGCTTTAGAATTGGTCCGGAAATTGTAAACCACAGATATAAAGCATCTTTCACTTTTTGATGATAGCTAATAGATTCATTGGCAGGATATTCAGTAATAATTTTCTCACATAGCAATTATCACTGATTTTATACACATGCCGACCAATACACATAATAATCCAGATGCGATCTTGCTACTCAAGCAACTTCTTTTCCTTTACATCTTCTCAGAGATAAATACTACAGACTAATCTGCTTTCTGCAACCAACAATGCATGTCATGTCATAGATGGACGGTTCACAGCGATCCTAGCGAGTAAACGTGGAATGAACTATTTGCATAAAGGATTGTTTCGCGAGTCCACGGTGTAGCACAGTGCACTACCGGGAACCGATATTCAAATTTTCGCGAAGAACGGGAATAGGGGAAGACGGATGTGATGTTGTCCGAATGTCAAAAAATCACGTGGTACGGGTATCCGCCTAACGTCTGTGAGGTACTAGCGGGTGACAGGTCTTATGTCAATGTCATTTAAAAAACAAGGTTCTCAATTGAAAATTTGTCTTCGCGGTGCCGAAAATTGAGTTAAATTATTAAATCATAAATGGAGAAACACCTCCACCTGACTTTAAATGACGAGGGAGAAGGTCATACAAGATATATGAACCGCACTTGTCATATCAAATGATTGATTTTATTGATATATCTACATTGCACAAAAAACGATCGGTCTTTTTATTTCAGATCCAAACAAGGCAGCTAAGTTCATCAAGGAGCTTGAAGCAAACATTTTGCGAAACATGCGCCATCTAACCACTCCCGGTGTAACTTGAAACTGTCAAAACTTCAAGAGGAAGGGGAAATTCCATCTGTTCCCGCTCCGGTTCACTATGGGATCTCGCGAAAAAATCTCTTATAGTCTGCAAGATGACATTTTGTTGTTTTTTTTTACGTTTTTTACATAATAATCATCTGAACTCGATTTTTGTTCAGATATTTCTTAATTTCCTTTGTTCTGTATTTTGTTTTCTGATTAACAATACAGCCAGTATGGTATGGAAGGAGAGATTGTATGTATGTGTCCACATTGAAGCTCGTTTCTATTTATATGGTCAGAACAGCGTATATGTCGTATTCTATGACAAAACGTTTGTTGGTCGACTGCTTCTCATCCTCACATGTTAGCGATAACTACAAAACCACTCATTGATGCGAGCACCATTATATATCCGTTCATCCATTTAATCCACTGGTGAAAGCGCATATCGGTTGCTTAAAACGCTTTGAACGGGTTTCATTTGCGTTCTTCACCATAGGCGCCGCTACACAGAGATTAGATTAGATTACTGTAAATTCAATACACAGCCAGAATATTCACCGTCCTTTTCAAAAAGGTCGGGGGGGGGGGTTTATTTACCGAACGAGTCAAGTTAGTTAGCTGAAATTCTGGGTAATGACATTGATGCGTGGATACTATATTTTAACGTAGAAGTGACAGTTGAAAATTTCAAGTTGGCAGACGCCATTTTGTAACTTCACTTCTGTCGCCTATCATGAATGTCGTAAGCCATATTTATAAAGAAGCTTTGATCGTATAGCCCTATTTATAAAGATGCTTTGAGCATAATATATTCATATTTATACAGGTGCTTTGATCATATATCCACATTTATAAAGATGCTTGGATCATATAACCATATTTCATCAATGGCTTACGGACTCAATAATTGCGGATAAGGATAGGTAAATTAACTGGCTCATCCAGGGGTGACGTCTCCAGTCTCCGGGGGTTGTTATGGGACTTTCGGAATCCGATTGCTGGGTTTAGGTGGTTATGTTAATTACTGCTCGGTTTCCTCTTAGGGTTGCCGATGTTATTGCATTTATTTAAGTATTAATATTTTTGGGTGAAATTGAATGTAACGAATGTATACATTCTTCCGAAAAAAGAAGGGATATGTGGTTCGGTTTTGAGGAATTACCGAATTCTGAATCAAAATGCAATTTCTGCTCTCAAATCCCATCATTTCAACGTATAATTAAATGAGATCTCAAAACAAAACAACCTGGTTCCCTAGATTGAGTCTGTTGTCAGTTCGCAGTTCAGTTCAGTTCGGTGGCTGGATACTGCAGACGTGTAGACACGCTTTGTACAATTGAACAAGTCATATGTAACAAGAGAGTCGTTGAATCATCGCTCACATAGATGAGTCGTTCATTTTGAACGACTCGTTCGCGAACGACACATGACTAGTTGACACGATGGCCTTTGAGCGACGTGCCATCCTAGGGCTGAATGACCGCTTAGCCAACTTCTCTTGGTAATCGCTGGCATCTGAATGTATCTTATGGCAGGATGTGCGTAGGGATTGTTATTCTTAAGTTTGTCATCTTGCTCTGTTATTTCTGATTAAGAGGTAATGTCGGAGCCTTTGGCTATTGACACAACGGCCGTTGGCCAACGTGATATCCTGGATCCTGGACTGCTTTTCGTAACAATCGTTAAACTCAGCATATCTGTCTATACGCCTGGGTATCAACATAGGTTGCTGTGTGCTTAAAAGTATGTTGATCACATAGGCTGCTGTGTGCTTAAAATTGCCTAAGTGGAGGACTGTGTGTCCATGAGGGACGGTGTGTGTCCCAGAGGGCTGTGTGCCCCCGCTCATCATAAATAAATAATGATGAATTGGTACAATCCGATCATATCGCGCTTATCGCTTGCCAAAGGAGGATAACTCGTCGCCGTTCCGTCACCAAGTAAGTGGCTTTAATATTATCCTGACATTGTTGCCTATATCGAATTGTTTACGTACTGCCTTTGTATTGAAAATGAAATGGTACAGTGTGGTACTTCGAAATCTTCTATGATGGGTTTGTGGTTTTCACTTTTATCGTTATATCCCATTATTATCATATCTCGTTCGTATCCTACGTAGGTATTAGACATAATAGCCGTACATATTTTTCATACATTTGTCATAAAAACAAATATGGATTTTTTCTGTGTTTGTAGAAGTGGAGGTTCGTGATTTATGCAGCCGCACATCATCAATTGCTGCATAGAGCGGTCTTATTTTCCAGTTGTATGTAAATCTGCTATTGATATCCCTAAAACCTAAAATCAATATTCTCCCGGAATTATCCGATCTTAGGCTTATATCTCTTCTACCAGCTTTTTCAAAAATATTTGGAAAACACCTTTGTATTGAAATTTATGAATATTTTATAATTCGTGGTCTACTTCCCGATTAACAATCTGGGTTCAGATCGGAAAGAAATACTGAATCATCACTAGCTACGGTTACCACGGATATTTTACTGCTCAATGTTTGTTTAGCTTTTGGATTTCTCCAAGGCTTTTGACACCATCAATCATGAATTGTTGTGTCCAAAGCTGAACTGCTATGCTTTCACTAACTCCTCACTATTTTTGATATATGATATGAGCAATCGACATTTTATAAGGAAAACATTGTCTGAGACCTTGGTGCTCAGACATTTTAATTATTGTAGCTTTATTTATGGGCCGTATTTGACTAGTGCTGATTTAACAAAAATAAAACGGGTTCGAAGTAGCTGCTGAATGAAATATGAATTTCTATGGGTGATAACGTTTTTGCAAAAAACGAGGATGACCGCACGAATTTCACACCTGGCGGTGTCGGCGATGCAGGCCTCCATTGCGCATGGCTCTCGGGCCGGTACTGAACATTGCAAATAGGCGCTTCTTGTTGGGATCGGTGGTGAGGGAGCCGACGAACAGGACTGTGTTGCCAGATTTCGCCTAGCATCACGCGCGGCAAAGATACAGCGTTGGGAAGCATATTTTGAGACAACCCTCGTGCGATCATGTGATCAGGATGTATAATCAGCTTCCACAAGAATTCAAGTCTCGTAAGATAAATCAGTTCAAATTCAGATTAAAACATTATTTGTTTGATATGCAGTATGCAGTAGGATCAATGATAGTACCTTTCATATACAATTTTTTATGTTTATAGATAGTTGCAGTAGGATATCAAAAGTGGTTAGCTCTCTTTTTAACATAAAATTTACTGCTCCTGCCATTGTACATTCTGTATCGTAATACAAATTTTAAAGCATACATATATGTTTCTCTACGAATACTTGCGTTGCTCAACCCTTTTTGGAAAACTTCATTTACCATATATTTTTTTGTTTACGTCATCGATTTTTTGGTTAAATTCTAGTTGTATACTTATTTGGGGATTGCCCTCATGGTTAAAGAAAATAACTATTATCTAGACTTCGTCACTGGTATTGTATTGTATTTTTGATAACGTAATGTTTTCCTTTGCAAATCAATAAAGTCGGTTTATTATTATTATCATATATCTTGCTTAACTGAACATTCCTAGACAAGTTTCGAGTCGAGTATTTTGCGTAAAGTTGGTCCATTTTTTTGAAGCTCTGCGAAGGCGTGGGTTTATAGAGTCAAACCATTGACGAATTTGTTTATTTTGTTCCAGATATTCGCCTGCAACTCAACGAACAGCTACGATGCCTGGACGTTCGGATGGAAGCACAAGTTGCCCTCCTTGCAGAACTGCAAGATTTTTTCAAAAGGAGGGGCGAGTTAGAATTGGACTATTCGAAAAATTTAGATAAGCTCGCTAAGAGCTTGCAGCTTAGGCACAAAGAACAAAAACAAAAGTTAGTTATCTTCATATCCTCTCATTTTAATCAGTATCGTTTGTAGAGTCAAGTCTGATCACAAAATATTGTTTTGAGTGAATGAACTTTGCTTCACTTAGTGCCGTATCTTCAGTCGTTTCTGCAATTGTAGCACACCTTTATAGCCTTCTTGATTTTCATAGTATTTTCTCTCCTTCAGAAAGGCTGGGGTATTTCTAGATTTATACTGTTCTGTGTTAGCGTTTGCGCTCTCGTATTGTGAGACTATATTTTCTTTTTGAATGTAGGAAATTTCAGGCTGATATAACAAATGATTTAAATCGAAAGCATGAACAATTTGATGCAAATAGATATTTGTAACATAACCTCAAAACAAAGCTCTGACACGGAACAGTAGAGGAGGCCATAAAGGCGTCCTACAAAGTTTTTTCTATCAGAAAGGCTGGGGTATTTCTAGATTTATACTGTTCTGTGTCAGCGTCAGCGCTTTCCTATTGTGAGGCTTTGTTTTTTTTTGAATGCAGGAAATTTCAGGCTGATATAACAGATCATGTAAATCAAAAGCATGAACAATTTGATGCAAATAGTTTGTAACATAACCTCAAAATAGAGCGCTCACACGGAATAGTAGAAAACTATGAATATCAAGGAGGCTATAAAGGCGTCCTACAATTGTAGGAACGACTGACGATACGACCTTTAGATAATTATGGCTCCAAACTTGAATATTAAAAAATTTTGGGTCATCGTTGAACTGGAACCTACGCACGGGTTTTACTCAGTTTTCATCCAAATTTCAGCAGCCTTGTTGTAGAGAAAAATGTCTAGTTTTCATTTCCTGTTGTTGCAACCGTTTCAAGTTTCTCATACATTCATTATTCCAAAACCCTAATGAATCCAAAAATAGCGTGAAATGTATTTTTTCAGGCGCGAGCAATGGCCGTTGTTTTCAAGTTACACTTGCTGGCAGCAACTTGTCACGCAGACAAAAAACTTGAGCAGGGACCATGCCGCCCTAGCCGAAGTCTATTCCGCACATCTGGTTTCCAGATTATCACAAGTTATGGAAGACGTCCAGCGAATTTACAAGAGAGTGAGTGTACCTTACTTTTCACCAGCGGCGTACGCGATTCCTTCACCTAAGACATCCTTATTGTGATGATGCTTGATTTGCTTTGAGAGTGTTGAGACATGGAAGTCACAGAAGAGTTTTCAAGTTTGTTTTTCAATGAAGAATGTGGCCTTATTCTACTTTGCGTAAAGAATACAGTGGTGTCCCCATTTTAAATATTACGTCTACATTTCCTATCAAGCGTCAAATTAATAATTAATAACTTGAGGTGATAATGAGGCATCAGACCGAAACAGCTACCCTCATTTTTTTCTAACTGAGCTGGGCCGAATGCTTAGTCGTTTCTTCACCTGAGGCATTCTCATTGTGAATATTCTATATTTGCTTTGAAAGTTTTGATACATGGAAATGACAAAAGAGTTTTCAAGGAAGAAGGTGCCCTTATTTGATTTAAGGATAGCTATACCGGGTGTTTTAAAGTCGACCCTCACCATTGGAATCTCGGAAACGGTAGAAAGAGATACAAAGTTGCTTAAATGGGGCAAAATTGCGTATTTAGGTAACTAACAAAACGCCGCGTAGAAAGTTTAGCTGTATGCGGTAAATCTCACTGATACTGCTAGACATAATAAGTGACACATATTTTGCCTCCATCTGCCACTATTATTATTAATAAACATTGAAGATAATTCGATATTTCGATCATTTAGAACTCAAATACCATATTAACCCCAAAAAAACTGGTATATTTCTCTTTGACAGTTTGTATTGTCTCCAGAAAAATTCAAATTGGGTGATTTATGATTTTCTTGTAATGGGCGATTCAATTATTTGGACTATCTCAAGCAAAAAGTACCACTTTATATTGCTACAATGTTACAACAATGCTATCCTATGCATGTAATGTTTTATCAGGTTCAAAGAAATGCGAAAATAAATATTCTTACATCCTGTGTGCCAGCGCTATCTTGTGCATGATTAATTTAGTCGTATTGCAAGATCATTATTCATTATTAAACAAATAAACATTCCACCGGTCATTTTTTTATTTATTCGGTTAATTTTGACATGTAAACACGCGATAAAATTTTATGTGCTCGTAAAAATAGAGTTAAGGATTGTCAAGTTGCGGCTTCCGGAATTAGCGGATAGTATCACGTTTAGAGCCCGAGCGTACGTTGATTTTTGGATAATTCAGGATGCGTAAAAAGAATGTGTAAAAAATCGCCAACCAGACGGACTAAGCATTACCGTGTCAAGTAATTTTATTGACAAGTAGTTTATGAAAATTTCAATGGCTTGACGAATCCCTAGCCAAGATACATCTTCTCGCACTCTGAACGACGCGTTCTCGATTTTCGAAGAATTTCCGTGTGTTTGGGCTCTTACAGATAACGGCGCTGGTCTTAATGTAAATAAACTCGGAAGAAAATGAGATATGAAATGATTATTGTTCGCGGTATCTTCTATATTGCTAATTTTGTTTATTTATTTGTATTAAAATATGATACAAATAAACAGTTTTACAATGAGGATCAGTCGATGCTGGAATGGAATAGAACAAGCTGTGGTCTCATTGGATCTGCATTTTTTGAAATTACATTATTGCCAAGTATCTACTATGGAACTATGGCGTAGTGGAGCGCACATGCAGTTCACGACACATGTTGCTTGTTTGTCCACGATTATGTGTTTTGATAGTTTTTGCGCAGTGCTTCAATTTTCATATTATTATTATTATTCCTAGATTTCGCGGTTTTAAGTTTGATCATAGAAGCATATTGTGCTTTAATTTTTTTTCTAGATTTCTTTTTTTTATCATTTTGGAATGAATTGGTTAAAATTGAATCATCTGTAGACGACTATAAAAATGTGCTCTCCGTTTTGTTTTGTCACTGGGGCCAGTCCTAGACTGTTTGCTGATCCATTTTGCAGTAAGTGTAATTGTTGTTTTTCCCCCATTTTGTATTCTATGTAATTTTTTAACTGCAAATAAACACTATTATTATTATTATTATTATTATCATTATTATTATTATATTTGAAAGTAAGCGTCTATTGGATAAACATTAATTGATTTTGAGACGAATATCATACACTATTGTTGAATACTGTAGTTCTATCAAAGTTATATACTTGAACTGAAAAGTTGTTCAATATAATGGAAACGAAAACAAGGCTGGCACCATGGAATTTGACGTCCAAACAAGTTCTAATTTCGTACCGAAATTCACGAAGAAATTCATGAATTTATTTGACTTCAAATTGCTGTTTAATGTTCAATTCATGAAGAAATCAGTCGATTTATTGTCAATGTAAAAAGGGTATTAGGCTGTGATTATGAACACGTTCATAAGAAATGCGTATTTCAATTCTTATGCTTATGTGTATGATTATTAAGAGGTTGTATAAACCTGCCATTAGTTTTTTTTTTGTATGCACCAATAATGCGCAGAAATTCTTCATAGAAAATTGAATTCTGACGTTCTGGATACATCTTCCGAGCTTGTGGGATGAAAATCTCACTTAACCGTTCCTGTCTATCTCTCCGTCATAATGAACATTCTTCATAAACGTATTGAGGGTAGAGATGTCGCGAATCAGCCACCAAGATCGCACGATTTGATCCCATTAGTACTTCTTTGATCTCTTGGATCCTTGTCACTGTACGAAGCTTTCTCGACATTGAGATTTTTCAAGAGGATCGCCCAAACTGACTGGAGTATAAAGAGTATAATCACAACTATTCATCTGTGGCAAACATTATTTTTCCTTGGTGGTGCGGTACTTGAGCGCCTGTCATTTTGTAGAAGGCCTCGAGTTTGATGCAAACACGTTGCAAGTGGAGCAAAATAAATTGGTTTTGCATCTGGGTTACTCATTTGTTTTTTCAGACACAAATACGGGCAAAAAAAAAGATTGCGCATAAATTATGAATATGGCTGTTTGGCCATGTTGCCGAGTTGGTCGAATGCGTTGCTATATATACCACAGGCGCCAAAATTCTTCAGAAAAACAGCGTGAAAGCATAGGCGTCACAAGATATTTGTCAAGTGTGATCCTTCGATCTATTTTATATACAATCTTTGAAGTTTTATATACACAATACAGTTTTTTATTCCGATTCTAAAAATCCATATACATTGACAATGCCAAAGCTTAGTTATTTCAAAAAACAGTATTTTCAAGGTAGGCCTTGACATTATGGTATACTGATTTGTTTCGCATATTAGATTTATCACAAAATAATTTTTTTGTTTAGTTTGAGATGACTTTCAAAGTAATACATGTTGTCATTGTCACTTTTTCTCGTCTACAAGATGACGTAGAAAAATTTTCACATCGAGGTTTGTTCTTTTAACTTCCATCATCAACTTTGTTTTCACATGGACCCTATTGGAATTTTGTACATTAAGACGGAGTTTTCAGTTCTAAATTCAGTGATGTACTTCCTTAGCCATGAACTTGTTTGAGCGAAAATTATGAGGATATAAAAATCATAAATAAGCAGAGGTAAATCATAGTAGATGTTCAAAATGTTAACCATTATTTTGTAGACAAAGCTTAACTCTTGTTTATTTCTTGTTCATTGCTTGCCTTCAAGTCAGTCTTCCAATTTGAGGTCTGTTCTGGTATACGAAGCAAATGAGTATTTGATAATTTCAAGGCCTAGAAAATTGTTTTTCTGCAATATCTAAAGTTTGGCAATGTTAATGTATGACATATTATTTTCATCTGAGTAAAACTGCAATATGGCGTCCATAAGAAACCATGAAGATGATGCTGGACGACAAGAGATGAAACGTCATATCGAAATTTTGATTATTCCATCTTGTAGAGGAGAAAAAGTGGGAACGTTAATGTACAATTTATTTTGAAATTCCACTACAAATGAAGTCAGGGAAAATTGTATAGTATCTCTCACCGTTACCGAGATCCCAATGGTGAGGGTCGAATTTGAAACACCCGATATAATCATGGAAGCCCGCAAAAATGCAATATTTTTGTTGATTTGGAAAAATAGCAATTTGTGAATGATTTCCGATTCGTTGCTATTTATATCAAGCTAATGTTTTCTATTGTGACCATTCATTAAATGAAGCTCTATCAAGGCTGCTCATTTACATTATAAACAAATTAGTTATTTGGATAACAAGTGCAGTGTAAAGCGTGGGAGCATTGTTGTTATAGTAAACGATTGGAAGGCATTATACGAGGGCGGTCCCATAAGTACTCATCGCCCGATTGCGCCCGATCGCAAGAGCAGTTTACTATCGTGTAGTAGATTTTCGTAGACGACTACTGTCAAAATTTCAGCCAAATCGGATTCGTAATTTTGTTTTGACCGCGAGTGGAAGTTGGCGTGACCGCGGATTTTAGAGAAATGGAAAAAGAGCAATATCGGTCGGTGATTCAAATCTTGTTTTTGAAAGGGAAATCGCGCAGCGAAATCAAAGAGCGCTTGGATTCTGTGTACGGTGACTCTTGTCACATCGGTTTTTGATGAGCCATGTCCAGGTGCCCTGGAAACGGCTACCACGGAGAATAACATGATAAAAATCGATCTTGTATTGGCAGACCGCCAGTTGAAGATGCACGAGATAGCAGAGGCATCTCAAAAGACCGCCTGGGTCAAACCTTGCATGAAATGTTGGGCATGAGAAAGCTGTCTGCGCGATGGGTGCCGCGTTTGCTCACTCCGGAGAACAAGCGCAACTGTGAGGTCACTTCAGATCAGTGTTGACGCTGTTTAAGAGCAATCTCCGAAGGAGTTTCTGCGTCGTTTCCTGACTGTCGACGAAACATGGATCCACTGGTACGCACCAGAGACCAAGGAACAGTCGAAACAGTGGATTTCACCTAGCTAACGTGCTCCGAAGAAGGTGAAGACTGTCTTATCGGCTGGAAAGGTGATGGTCACCGTTTTATGGGGTTCACAAGGTGTGATCTACATCGACTACCCAGAGAAGGGCAAAACGGTCACAGGGCTCTCTACTATATCGAATGATTGGACCGATTCGACGCCCATTTGGCGAAAGAAAAGGTACTGCTCCACCATGACAACGCACCAGCGTACACCTCCGCAATCGCTACGGCCAAATTGGTCGACTTATGGTACAAACTGCAGCCCCATCCACTGTATTCTCCGGATTTGGCCCCGTGCGACTTCGTTTGCTTCCAAACTTGAAAATGTCACTCGCTAGGCAGACATTTGAGTCGAATGAGAAAGTAATCGCCGCCACGGAGGCCTACTTTGCAGACCTCCAGAAAACGTATTTTTAGACGGGTTAAAAAAGTTGGATCATCGCTGGGTCCAATATATCGAGATAAAAGGAGACTATGTTGAGAAATAAATCGCCACTTTCCAAAATTTTCGTTTTTCTTTTGTAGGCCAAGTACTTATCGGACCGCCCTCGTAATACAGACCTGTTTTAGAGCCAAAATACATGTCGATTAGGTGTCAAAACCAGACTCGTAATAAAACATTGTCAATCATCAGAATTTTATTTTTAGAATGCAGAATAAATATTTTTGAAACAGATTCATTGTTTTTAATTCCTTAGCGACACGTTTTCTCCCTCCTGCATTCTCCGTCCGATCGGTAAATATTCTATTCTGCTTAATGTGATTCATCGTCAGCTGCTACTATGATGTAGTAGTCTTTGATCTCAAATTGCATTTACATTCATCATTAATTTGCATATTACGTTCAAATATAAACTCGACAAAATTATGGATTAAATATATCCGAATCCGAACAGTATCTTAGAGGGCACTTGCAAGTTTGTTTGAAATTGCTTGGAGTTTTCTAATACCTAAAAGTTGGCATCGATAAGATTCTAGACTTAGAGGTAGCTTTTGCAATTTAGTTTAAAATGCTAATTTCGTAAAATTGGTAATATGTGTTAGGTTTCTGGGCCGTGGTTTTATCCCCGCAGATTGGCTCTATTAATAAAATAACCATATTTCCCAAGCGAGTTGATTTACTCTGCAATGCAATTATAGCAATACTCAAAAACAATTATATGTTACGAGGGTTGTTTCAAAAATACCTTTTTTTCAGGCACAAGGCATTTTTATTTGAAAAAACGAATTCACTATTGGAAACGTTGATCTCTGAACAATTTTTCTCTAAAGTCTATTCTACTCATTTTTTTTAGACGTGAAATCTACTTTTGCACTCCCTCCCGCCTTTAGACACTTGGTAACTACTCCTCGCCCGTCTCTCGAACCGTTGACGCCTAGGTGCTCCTTTGGAAATTCTACGTCAGGGCTGTAAGGGGGATGAGCAATTACTCCCCAGTCAAATCTCTCGATTCAGCCCTTCGTTTGTTGTGAGACATGAGGATGCGCATTGTCGTGGTGAAGTCTTACGCTTTGGAGTCTCAGCTGTTCCAGAAGCCTCAGGAATTTCAACCGCCTGTTCCCGGATCGTAATCCACCGATCTTCGAGCAGAATTGCTCAATCTTCGCCACAACTTCCTCGGAAATCGACGGTCTTCTGATTCGTTGTTCATCGTGGATGTCTGTCACATGGTGAATGCTTCTACACGTTTCCCCATATACTTCACTCAAGTGGCGATGAATTTTTGTAGGTGATTACGTTTTTGCGTGCAAAAATCGGATGAACGCACGAATTTCGCACCTGGCGGTGACGGTGATGAACGACTTCATTGCGCATGGCTGTCGGGCCGGTACTGAGCATCGCCAATAGGCGCTTCAATTTGGGGAGCCGACAAACACGATGGTGTTTACAGATTTCGCCTACCATCATGCGCGGCAAGGATACAGCGTTGGGAACCATAATTTTGAGACAACCCTCGTAGTAACAATTCAACGCATAGTTCGCCATAAGACTAAAAAGACTCCTGAACTTTGTCGACGTTTTCAATTTTCTGACTGCTAAGGCATAGTAAAAAAAATTAAAGAATTCAAAAATTGAAATCGGGCATCTCACCTTTCACTTATCATTAAGAACGCTTAGAATGTTCATGTAGCTAGAACGTTAAATAGAATCATATGAATGTGTGTGGCGTACTGAGTCAATCTATTGGTTGTAGGAAAAGTCATGACGTATATGCAACAAAGTATGCAATTGCATGGTTGGAAGTACGTGAGTCAATGACATTTGTATGTTGATTGTGTAGTTTGACAGTTGACACTTCAAGCTTCATTTGCACCAAAAAATTAAGTGATTTATTTGAGTCTCGTCGATTTTAGAGGACGTTGAAGATGGACGACCAAACCGTGCATTTTCGTCACATTTTGCTGTATTACTTCCGCAAAGGCAAGAACGCAAGACAAGCGTGTGAAAAGTTGAGAAAGGTTTATGGAGAACATGCACTACAAGAACGGCAATGCCAGAGATGGTTTAAAAAATTCCGAGATGGGGATTTTGATATCCATGACGCACCTCGATCAGGACGGCCTACTGAGTTGGATAGAGACGAATTAAAGGCATTGGTAGGAGCAAACCCACATTACACCACACGGGAAATTGCAGAAACCTTAAAAATCCATCATTCAACCGTTCACGACCATTTGAAGAAACTGGGATACGTAAGCAAACTCGATCGTTGGGTACCACACGAACTGAGAGAGGTTCATTTGACGGCGCGTGTAGACATCTGCGATATGCTCCTTAAACGTGAGGAAAACGATCCTTTCTTAAAGCGCTTGATAACGGGAGATGAAAAGTGGATTGTTTACAACAATGTGGTTTGCAAACGGTCTTGGTCCCGAAGTGTAGATACGCGTAACACGATCGCGAAAGCAGAGAGTCATCAGGAAAAGGTGATGCTCTCTGTTTGGTGGGATTTTAAAGGGATCGTGTTTTTCGAACTCCTGCCAAAGAACCAAACCATCGATACAACTGTGTATTGTCGGCAATTGGACAGTTTGCAACAATCCATCATGCAAAAACGTCCGGAGCTCATTAATCGCAAAGGAGTTGTGTTCCACCATGACAACGCGAGACCGCACACAAGTTTGCTCACTCGTCAAAAGTTATTGGAGTTAGGATGGGACCACATACATGTTACCACATCCAGCATACTCGCCTGATCTTGCCCCATCTGATTTTCATTTGTTTCGGTCGCTTCAAAATTCCTTGCGAGAAATACGCTTTACTTCAGATGAAGCTGTACATCAGCACCTTGTTCAATTTTTTGCCGGTAAAGACAAATCCTTCTACGAGCGAGGAATTATGAAGCTGCCTGAAAGATGGCGAAAGGTCATCGATCAAAATGGGCAATACATTATTGATTGAAGTTTGTGCTGTCATGACTTTTCCGACAACCCAACTTTACACGATTTTTTTTTCAGTGTCGCGAAATAGGTTACGAAACGCACGAAGAAATTCTCAGGGTTCTCCACGAGCTACATACCACTATGAAGACATATCACAGCTACCAAGCTGAACTCAGACAAGCTGAAATGAAGCTTAGAGCTGCCGAAATACAAAGGACAAAGTTAGAACAGACGCTGTCACAGGACAAGTTGGAGCGCTCAAAGAAGTATAAGTTGATGGAAAAGGAAGTTATGAAAGTAAGAAAACAAAATAACTCTCATCAAAGATTTAGGGGTTTATGAAAGTGTTAAGAATCATCACCGGTTTGGCGTCAATTGATGATTTTTTGTTACCATATGAAATCGGTTTCTTGATAAAATACTCCCTTAGCGACAGATTTGACCTATACTGTATGAACGACGATTTATTGCAACATATGCTTTAATTTTTTTATTATTATCCATTTCAAAAATTTATATAAATTTAAACTCATCGACAGAAAGCTTTATCAACTAAATAACCAGTCAACTTCACCCTAAAGAAGCTTTTTATCATTTTAAGGTCATCGGGTGATTTATTAAATATTCTTGCGCCCAGGATCTTAGGAGACCTGCAGCCATCTTTGTGTTTCATAAAAGGTACATGTATATAGAGTTAGATTATAGATTTATTTGTTGAGAAAAGTGAAGATTGCCATATCATAAAGAAATAGTCCAGGTAATGTTGATATTTTCAATTTTTTTAATATCTATTTACAGCTAGCTATATGTACTGTCAACTACCATACACCTCTTTTGGCTTAAATATACTTTTTGAAAATTAGCTGAAGATCGCCAAAAGCATAACGCATCGTGCAGACGAAACTCAATTTGTGCATAATACAACATCAATGTTATTGTTCTGTTTATAGTAGGTTTGAATCATTGTCACTCATAATAAAAATGCACTGACTCTTAACTCTTTTATAAATTCGCAGGATGTCACGTCCATTATTCATTTAATAATAACATATATGGATAGGTATATAAGCGAAAAAATAATGCCAAAAAGGCCTGTAAAAAATTCCTACGAAGAAAGTACAGCCTCCTAGAGGACACTAGTAGAAATCAGTACTTCTTAAATAATCTTCTAACGGAATTGTATATTTTTTGCACCCTGTATAATAATTGACTGACATTTTTTCTGTACTATTGTTCTTTTGTTTGACATCGATAAAATGGACCGTTTTTGAGAAAAACTCTTCGTTCAGCATAGTTCTATTAATTTTGGTACATAGTTCTATTAATTTTGACACTGGATCCACTAGTTTCATTTTGGACAAAAAGTAATTCTTAAAACAGTCACGTTTTCAGGGGCAGAAAAACTACAAGCAAATCAAGTTTCAAGTTTAACTTATTAGGGAAAGGCTTCAGTGTAAACTGGTAGCAAATGTGCTAAAACAAGAGTGTTTTATCTCAAAAACGGCCTTGTGATCGGAATGGAACAAAACTGCATGACGACGTTGTGTAGAAAATGCAGAGTGAACCTACTTGACGGCATTTTCGGGATCTTTATACATATAAGAGCTTAACATGTACACCCTGTATATTTCATGTTTTTTTTGCAGAGAAAGAACAAGTATTCTGATGCCAAACTTAAGGCTCTAAAGGCACGAAATGAATACGTTTTATGCCTAGAAGCATCTAATACGACTATCCACAAATACTTTGTTGATGATTTGTCTGATCTCATAGATGTAAGTTTTCTTCAAACCCTGATCAATCTCCTAATCTGATAATAATTCATTGTAACTGACATGGTGCAACACCTCACTTTTTGGCTTGAGTAGATGGTTTAGCTGCAATAAATAGTGTCGAGACACTCTGGCTGGAGCAACCACATTGCCGAGATTGTCCATAGATGTAAAAATTGATGGTTCCTGAGAAGTTGGTGACATCGCTTAAAGAATATTTGCCGCGAGCGATTTTTTTTCTAATAGAGCTTCTCCACATGAGTAGAACTGACTGTTTATAAACGTTTTGGCCACAAAAAAAAATAGTACGAGGTTGTCAAAAAAATAGGGTTCCCACATTTTTTTCAGGAACTTTTTTATTTGAAAAAACGAGTTTACCATTGGAAACATTGATCCTCAAGATATTTTTCTACATAGTCGCCATTTTTTCTACGCATTTTTTTAGCCGTGGAATTCACTTTTTCACAAGTTCGCCGCAATCCCACTTAGAAACTTGTGCAATCGCGTAGCATCACGCGCGGCAAAGTTATAGCGTTGGGAACTTTATTTTTTAAACAACACTCGTATAATAGTATAGATAGTAATAAACAGATCTTGTAGTTTTTTTGTTTGAAAGGTGCTAATAATATTTTGGTCAAACGAATCAATCAAATTGACCGCATGGTACGTGAAAGAGTGTCGAAATATGGCTGTCCTGTATTTTGGCCATGTGAGATGGTTGTGGCGCGTATTCAAATTGTGAATCAAATTCCTATAAATAAGCTTTTGCTTGAGGTAAGACGGGACACAGGTCTTTAATATGTGATGCCAAATGTGAAAAAGTTGTATTTGAGCATTTTTAGCCAATTCCTAGAAGCTATTGAATGTGAAACCTGATCGTACCTTCTTAAATTGTTTATATAGCGCGAGCATGTATTTAAAATTTTCTGCAGACTGTATTTTGTGATTTCGTCCAGACAGGGATAATAAACAATTCCGAAACGTCAGCAAACAAGCGCATATGTGGTTTCATTAAAAGTTCAAAAAACATAAGTTTCGTTATCTAAAAGAGGTGTTTCACCAAGTAAAATTCATATATGATTTTGATGCTATGTTTTCTAGTGTATGGATTTTGGTTTTCACAACTGCATCTCCCGAGCATTATTGATGCATGTGACGGCAGAAGAAGGTAGACAGAAGTCCATCCAGCATGGTATCGAAGCGCTAACAAGTTGTATAAATTCGTTAGACTCTAGGCTAGATAAACAAAGGTTTCTCGAATATAATCATACCGCGTTCATGATACCAAAAAAACTGGAGTTCCAGGGCCACAAAACGGAAGATGTAAGTTGAAATTTTCGAAGGACATATTTTTTGCTATTTCAAGTCATGCGGCTTGAAAAATTTGTCGGATAATCTCATGTGTTAAAATAGGCTACTTGACTCACTCATATCTAATTTCATAGAATCATTAGTATTTCTTACAGTGTTTGGCAATTTAAAAAATATACTTTTTTATGTTTAATGCGCCTTTCTAAGAAAAATATATTTTTAAAGTTTCAAGGTTTTTTACTTCTGAAAAAATATTGTATAATTTTTTTGCTCTAATAGAACAAATGTTAATTGAAGGTATCTTCCTATTATCAATCTTGACTCTATTATTTATTTATCGTCTTTGAGAGGTTGCTTCTTCTCGTACGAGTATACAATAAAAAAACCTGATGTTTTAGCCTCCAGAACCCGAAATTCAAAATTTGCTCCATCGCGAGATGGAAAGTCGTTTAACTCAGTTAAACCAAAGGGTGACATCGCTACGAGCCGAATCTGAGGAGGTTTGGAAAACCTTGGAAACTGCTGAAACTACCTTGATGGATATGTTGTGTGCTAAAGACTACGACTGCAGTGGATATTTTGATGAAAACGCGGTACCTGTTAGTAAACCGCTTGAGACTGTTTCTATTAAAGCCAGGGCTGACAGACAAGAGACTGAAGAGTTCTATCTTACAGTAAGTATGATACATAATCTTCGCTCAAACCGAGTCTGAGTTTAAAATGAATCCAGTGATTTACCTTAGCTGCTTGAAAATTTTAAATCTGCAATGATCCGTGCTTAATTCAGTTAGTATGCTAGAAGTAGCACAAAAAACATGGAAGAATGCAAGACACATCTCGGCGTCTTGCCGGCTGTAGTATCGAATTTACTTCGGCAAATATGAATCCTTTCCAAAATATACATCGAATCATAGTCTAAGTAAATTTAATTACAGCTCTGAAAACATGCATCACACTCCGAGTTATTTGTGAACATTGAGAATTTTAATTTCTTTTTAAAGTCTGCATTGCTACAGAAAGCCACCTTTAACCTTATTTTATACTTATGCACATTGCACTTTTAAATATTTAATTAATAAAAAATACAGATATTTGCATGAATGAAATGTGTTTATACTGTTTGCTCTGGTGTGCCGCAAGGATCGAACCTAGGCCCCTTGCTGTTTTTATTCTTCATAAATAACCTTGCCACTTCACTAAAGTGTCACAATCTATTTGCTGATGATCTGAAAGTTTACGGCAAACTTACAAGTTTATAAAACTGTATAACCCTTCAGGAGGATCTATATATTACGACACAGTGGAGTGACAATAACTTTCTCATCTTAAACATTTACAAGTGTAAAGTTTGTTCATACAGTTGCAAAATGAACTCGTTCATCATTGATTATCCCATAAATGATGCCTGTTTTGGAACAACACAGACTAAATATCTATGTAACATTTTCCTACTGGTTGGACTTTTCTGTCCATGTAGCACGCGTCACTTCCGAAGCGACATGGATTTTTTAAGTTTTATAATGCGAAATTGCCGATATTTTTCCAACGAAGCATCACTAAAAACTCTTTTTATTTTGTTTGTGCGACCAAAACGAGTTCTTTGATATGGAACTATTTCTATGCATATTATATAAATATCTTTGAAAATGTGCAAAGAAAATTTCTTAAATATTTCACTTGAGAAATGTGACTTCACGGCTGAACATGAACGTGTTAAACTGCATCGCGCTACTTAGAAAATACCATAACTTCTCTATTATTTCCAATTTGTCAAAGGTATCAGTTATTCTAACACATATAAAAACATCCTAATTATTTTAGGCTACATCTCGCATTCTGAAATAACTAAGAATAGTCAAAAATCATGCAAGTTATTAAACTCAAAAATTCATTGAGAACGATATTATTTGGAGTAGCGTTTTTCTGATTTGTTTTCTACCGCATTTTCAAAATTTTCGAGCTTATGAAAATACGTAATCACTGTCGCGTCATTATGATTTTTGCAGCTTAGCAGTTCAAGATTGCCAAAGATCGCAAAGCTGCGATTCCTATAATCAAACCTCTGTCAATTTATTCATTTATTTCAGAAATTTAGGGAGTATCTGTTAGGCTCCTCCCGAATAGCACGCTTAGACGCAAAACAGGAATTTTTGCGGCAGTCACTTTTAGCCGAGCGGCCCGAATTTTGTAATTCAATTGAACCTGTGGCAAAAACACCAAAACGTAAAAGGATAGGCAGATTACAGATGAGCGGGCAGCCTAAGTTATTTGGAGGGTCCATCGAGGAGTATCAAGAAGCCACAAACCAGGAAATTCCTCTGATCATGAGATCATGCATTAGAGTTATCAACTTATATGGTAAGTCAAGCATTATCAGAGCTGCACTTCCGGGAAAATATCGATGAGAGCTCGGTACACGCTGCCAGAGGCCTACTTTGCAGACTTCGAGAAAACGTATTTTTCAGATGGTTAAAGAAGTTGGAGCATCGCTGGGTCAACTGTATCGAGCTAAAATGATACTATGTTGAGAAATAAATCGCGACTTTTCAAAAAATTCCATTTTTCTTTTTTAAGCTAAAAACTTATCGAACCGCTCTCGTATATTTATATTCTATTCTTCACAATTCAACGCTAGCTTTTTAATTCGTTGTATTTTGCTATTTTTTTATGTTTTTTACAATATGTGTGGTTGTGTAATATTGTATAAGCTCGGTGTGTAGATCTCGATGGCAATATCTCCGTGTCTAAAATGCATATTTTTTTGCAGGTTTGCATCATCAAGGTATTTTTCGAGTATCCGGATCTCAGGTTGAAATAAACAACTTCAGGGAATGGTTTGAGAGAGGAGAAGATCCTTTGGCTGACGTGACTGATGCCTCTGACATTAATAGTGTTGCGGGTGTTTTGAAGTTGTATTTGAGAGAGTTGAGGGAGCCGTTGTTTCCAATCATCTACTTTGAACAGTTCATGGAATTAGCGCGTAAGTCTATTTCTAATTTTTTTATATTAAGAAAAGTCGCGTTAAAATCTGTCTTGCTGTCACTATGTAGAATGACACTGTCCGGCACTCCGTCTAAGAAAACATTGAAATTTGTAATAATGTGAACTAAAAGATCATCACAGGGTGTAGATTTTTTTTAATAATATAATATATACAATTTTTCCGCATTTAACATGATGCAGCTACCCTCCGACTTTTCTGAAATGTAACACCGCGTATGTTTTCATTATTGCAGAATTGGAATCCAAGAGGGAATTTATCACTCGGATGAGAGAAGTAGTAAATAGCCTACCGAGAAACATAATGGTAGTCTTGAGGTACCTGTTTGCATTTTTGAACCACTTATCCGAATTTTCTGATGAAAACATGATGGATCCTTACAACTTAGCCATTTGCTTTGGGCCTACTTTGGTACCAGTACCGGAAGATAAAGATCAAGTTCAGTATCAGAACCAAGTCAACGAACTTATCAAGAACATTATTATGTATAACGACGAAATATTTCCCAATGATGGTGGGACTGTCTATGAAAAGTATATTTCACCAAACTCTGAAGATCAGTAAGTATAACCTTGACAACACTTTTTTGTATTTCAATTGATTTTGTAAGAGGCCCTTTATCAAATAAAGATAATCCATGCTTAGGGTAAATATAGTTAAAACTCAAGTATGCTATCTAACAATACATTGTCCATATTACATAATGTTACATTTCCTAACATTCCATTACAATTTTTTTTCACATACCGTGTATATTGCTACTGAGTTCTTATTAATAGATACATAAATTGATTTTACCTCTCTACATATTTATTTTGAACTTCCATTGTCCAAATAAATGCACGTCGTGTAACTTTATTTAGACAATCTAAGTCTGAAATTAATGACGTCTGCCTTGATTTTACGTGTTTTTTTCTCTCATCAGTAAATTTTTCAGCGATGTCGGTGATTCCCCGTCTGAGCAGACCCAGGAGGACATAGACTCGGTGTATCCATCAGAAGACGACTCGGAAAATGTTGAGGCGACTGCTCAGTTTGACTTCACAGCTAGATCGGCTAGAGAACTTTCGCTAAAAAGAGGAGATTCGATCACCCTGTATTCACAAGTATCGAATGATTGGTGGCGAGGAGCTGTAAATGGTCAAGAAGGGCTTATTCCTGATAAATACATCTCGTTAAAAATGAAGTAAGTTCGAGTTCGAATAGTTCTAACAGATAAGGTCCAAAAAGTCTGGTTTCTAACTTTATTTGCGATGAGCAATAGTTCATCTCCAAAGAGTTAATATGAATTTGTTTTGAGACAATGAAACAAACATTAATCAAAAATTTCAAAATTTACTTATCTGCGATGATGAGTCAAGTATGACTTGGAAGTTCCATTATTTTTAACCCCAAAGCTACTTTTTGCATATGCCTTGGATAAACTGGAAATTGAAAGACATTAAACATAAAATTTAATTTTTTTAAAAAGAAATGTGTAATTTTTTTTTGGTGGCCCTGCTTTTGTTGTAGGAATACTATGCTATCATTTTGTTTATTTAATAATGCGATCGGTTTTGCAGGGACGAAGACAGAGAAAAAATGAGCCTTCTGAAAGCCAGCTCCTCGGAGGAATCCATGAGAAGGCGTGCGTCGAGTTCGAACGATTCGATGCTATCCGAAAGTTCTACGTCAGCCAGTAACCTGAATTCGCCCCTTGTGCAGTGTACGCCAGTGACTTGGACAAAAGTGTCTGATTTAGCCGAAGCTAAAGTGAACGACAGTGCCTCATTGTTGTTAAATCAGTCTAGAGAGGTACTGGAAACCACTGTTTAATATTTCGTGTCTTTAGGTGATGGCTGTGTTTTTTTCTACGAGGATTTTCAAAAACATTATCATGCACTCCTAAAGCCCCTTATTGGCAGCATACTCTATATTGCACAACTCTTATAGCTTTGTTCCAGCAAAATAGTTTAACCGTAAATCGTATATACGGGGTAGAGCAACGTTTGTAAATGGCCGGAACGATTTTCCTAGTTCTGTGCTGGAACAAGGCTATTATGCACTCTGTACACGGGTTCATTCAGGAAGGACACTTTTTTTTCACACAACTCTTTGTGAATACGAGAAAGGCTAAGGGCTTTTGCAATTTCAACACTATCACTTTTACAGGGTATTACAAAGAGATCCAACACCTTACAGTTTGAAAAAACGTTATGGGTCTGAAAATTTACCGTTTTCATAATACCAGGGCCACGCTATATATTTTGAGATACACGAAAACTAAAAACTATTTTTCGAAAACTCGTTTACTTATGTTTAAGGTATTCTCCTCCAGCATCAATGCTCTTCTGTAACCTGACCTTCCACCAATGAAATGCTTCTAACCAGTCAGTTTTTGGAATGTCTTCAACAAAGACAAACCGATTAATTGCTTGATCGATTTCCTCTTTGGACCAAAATTTTCGACCACGCAGATTTTTTCCAAATTCCTGAAGAGCCAGAAGTCACACATTGCCAAATGTGGCGAATAAGGCGGATGTTCTAGCATTTTGATGTGGCGCTGGCCTAAAAAGTCTACAGTTAGTTGGACAGTGCGGCTAGATGCAGTGTTGTGATGCAGGATTGTACCTCTGCAACAACTTTTTTTGAATAGTTGATCATGCAAAATGGTGTGCACTGTTGCGGATCATATTCCAAGACTTGCCTCTATAGTTGCATATGTGCAGCGAGAATCTTCTTCAATTAGCCGCTGAACTTTAGTAATGTTTTCTGGATGCCCTCTTTTAAATTCAGCATAAACACACTTGCCCTGGACGGAGCTTCATTACCAAATGCCTGTGTAACCGTTCGATTCATTGATGTTCAGTTAAAGCGACTTTAACCCCATGGTAGATGATATCGCGATAACTCTCTCGAGACAACTCCATGTTTCGACTTAAATTTGTTTACACCACGAGCACTGTAAGACGCTTGCGAATGAACTGAATGCGGAGACTTACTAATATAGGACTGCTCTTTCTAGTAGTGCACTGTTGCCGGTTTTAACTAGTATAGTTAATGCGCATCACAAAATATACAGCGTGCCCCTTGTAGACCTTTTAGTCTAGTCATATTAGCAAATTTTCCCGAAATAATTGTAAAGTTTGCTTTTATTAGTGCAAGTTGTTCAAGGGGGTATTTAAAATATGGACGCATAAAATGGGTACACCAATTTTTGTGGGAAAACTTTTTATTTGACAACAAAGAATGAGAAAACGTGTTTTTTGGGATTCAATCGAAAATGTTGACAGAAACGAAAAAACTTTTCATATAAGATTTTTAGGTATTTCTGAGATCTACAAAATGATACCACACGTAAAAAGATCCGACTAATAGCAAAAATGTTATTATCGAAAAACGAGGCAAAATGCAGATTTTGGCACTTGTTGGTAATGCGACGATCATTTCACGCAACTACTTGAAATTCCTCAAATCCGTAGGATTGATACTTCTTAATGACAACAACAAAATTGGATTATATTGGTCAAGTAGTTTTGTAAGAATATCTAACTGTTTATACCAAAACACCCGTTTTTCTGCCATCACTACTAGTTTATTGAGCAATATACATTGTTCGCTCAAAGAGAATTTAATAGGAAAACACTTGTGTTTACCTTGCTGATATGAATCACAAACCATCCTGAAAGATAAATGTTATTTTATGCGAAAAATAGGGGTTACGTTTTTTTCTTCTAAACAAATTCAAACATTTCGTATTTGTGAGTAATTGAGCAAATGCGCTATGATATTCAAAAAACATACGTTGCTATAGACATTTTAAAACAAAGCGGAAACATTTATCTTCCGGAATGGTTAGCGATATATATATCGGCAAGGTAAACTAGTGTACTTTGCTATAAAATGCCATTTGAACTAACCCTGTATATTGCTCAATAAACTAGTAGTGATGGCCGAAAAACAGCACAGGTGTTTTGGGATAAACAATTAGAAATTCTCAAAAACTACTTGACCAATCTACTCCAATTTTGTATGTATCATAAATACCTAAAAGTCTTGTATCCCAAAAAACACGTTTTCTCATTCTTTGTTGTCGAATAAAAAGTTTTCCCACAAAAATTGGTGTACTCATTGTATGCGTCCATGTTTTGGATACCCCCTTGAACAACTTGCAGCAATAAAACCAGACTTTACAATTATTTCGCAAACCAGTGGTATTTTCGTCTAATATGATTAGACTATTTGCATCTTTCGAAAACAGATTGCAATGTTGAAATGAGGTTTGGTACACTCATATATACGATGGTTGTCTAAAAAATAAGGTACCCACATTTTTTCAGTTGCAAGAAATTTTTTATTTGAAAAACGAATCCACCACTGGAAACGTTGATCTTTCAGCTATTTTTCTACATAGTCGCCATTTTTTCTACGCATTTTTTTAGACGTGAAATCCACTTTTGCACTCCCGCCTCAAGGAAGTCCGTCGCTAAATTTTGGTTTTAGATGTTTTCATGGTTGCTAATAACGAACTTGATATCGTTCGCTGAAAAATGGAAATTAGAATTCTAATATGGCGGATGTTTGTAAAAAATGTTTTAATCACGCTCAAAATTATGTTTCAAGTGATATTCAAAAAATGTTTTCAGTTCTGTTGTACTTTACTTAAAACTATCATTTTAACTCAGTTTAAAAACAAACAGGGAACTTCGTCACTATCATAATTGTTTTAAAATATTCTTATCAAAGTGCAAAATGCAGGTTGATTCAATAAGTAAAAGCTACTAATTTTTTGTTGAGTGATAATGTTTTGAAAATTCGGTTAGGTATTTGTAGTATTTCAGTGCTATGCATTGGCAGAAGTATTTTTTGCAAACGATAAGGGCTCATACATGACATTTTTTTATCCCAGTTTTTTTTTATTTTTCTATGTATATTCGCTTTAGAATGCATGTGTGTTCCAATACCCACTTATTTGAATAAAACGATTTAAACTATGCATGTGCATGTTGTTTTTTTATTTATAAAGTGCCCGTATTTTGCTGAGTGTTGTTGAAGGAGTTGAGCTTATATTTTTATTGTTTGTGGCAAAGTGAGAGCTGAAATTTTGTAAAACAAATTCATGAAATCCTTTAGTCTCCTGCCGAAACAAATTCAACTTCTAAGCTGTTTACTTCAGCATTATTCAATATTCATTTTAATACTACCATTCTTAAATTGTCTCAAAATTTGCAAATATCAACTTGAAATAAATTGATACACACTTATCAGTTTAAAATTAGTTATTTTTCAGCTCTTGCTATTTAGAGATGACAAACTTGTTTTTTTATATTTTTATAAAATGATTTATCTACTGGAGTAATCTTATATTTTTATACAGATATATTTAGCTTAGGTAGTTAAGACTGTTGAATATACGAATAAGTTGTATGTATTCCAAATATATCTGTATGCATGGGTAAGCTGTAGTCATTCTTATATGTAGATAATAAAATAATTTGCTAATATAGGCCTTATTTTTTCTTTCTCTCACGTAGCGTGATTATTTCTTTCAGTAAATTACTCAAAGCAAATACTCAAAGACGATCAATTTCCACACAACTAGTAAAAATACTAAATATTTGTCATCACAAGCTTTTTCTTGCCTAAAACTTCACTTTGAGTCACAAAGATGTAGAAAAGATAATTGGGTTAATAAATAAAACGGTCATACTATTACAATGCCTGCAGGAAAATGTAATTTGCTTTTAATTAATATATTCACATTTCATGATTTTTTGTGCTAGTTTTTTTGGAATCGTATTTTTTGTGCAATCACCTGCGCTGTGGTAGTTTCACTAACATCACCTCACCATAAGCACTAGATATTAAGTAGCAAAAGATATGTGGCTAATAGCAGTGTGTTGCTTTTTTATACCTTTGATGCGTACAAATTGCAGTTTTAAAAACTTAAAAACAAAGTGTCGAATCCTTACTTTCCATAATGCCTTCTAATGTGTCCATTAAACCGTACTGGAAGCCTTAAAATGAAAATAAAAAAGATCGCTGAATAACTGAATAATCGCATCTTAAAAATAACAAAATGCCTCGTTCTCGATTAAAAAAATAGATTTTAAATAATAGTGCATTTTGTTCACAAGAATTATTTTGTGAGAGGGACATAGTAGACATTATACTGTTTGTGCGGTAAATAGTACGATAAAAAAATGGGGAAGATAGGCGAAAGGCAGATCTACAACATACCAAAAAATCACCCTAGTTATAGTTTCATTGTTTTTGAGATATAATTTTTTTTGTCTTTTTCGAAAAATTTCGTCGTTTGATCTACCCTTCGTTGCTGATTAAGCAGGTAAGTTATACAAGTACTGTGCAGTAGCAGTCTAGTACATTTTTATTTTATTGCTGAATACCAAAGTTGAGTGAAACAGTTTTCTAAAATAAAAATTACGAAGAAGAAATTAGTTTGTCAAGTTTACCTACTTGTATTTATCGAAAATGATATTTCAAATGGCAGACCAACTATCTGAGAATATTTTGCAAAACAAAAACAAGCAGATATCTTGTTATTTCTAGGCACTGCAACAAAAGATAGATTAGAAAAGAGAAACAAAAAATTAATATCTCAAAAACGGTGAAACTTTTACTAAGGTCATTTTTTGGTATGTTGTATATCTGACCCTTCGCCTATCGTCCCTTTTTTGTCGTACTATTTACCGGACACCCTGTAGTTATCGCCGAGGCTCATAGATTCTGTTGCTTAGTGTGCAGACGAGTGACTTGTCATCTAAGCATATCCTAACAATTTTGAGTTTTGAGCAGTTTTTGAGGTTGAAGGTAATATAAAATGCACCATATCCTCTTAAATCGTTAAAGACATCCAATTTCAATTGTTCTAGGTTGAAACAGTTCCAAAAGTGGGGCTTCAAATAGATCCCCCAATCATTCAGATTACAGAAAAAGCTCATTCAACTGTAACTGATCAGGTTGAGGAGAAAAATCATGTACAAGAAACGTTAGAAGAACCTCCGGATACTGGAAAGGCTCAAGCAGAAATAGATGAATCTAATGTAAATTTCTCGCAGAACAGAGAACTTTGGCAGAGAAGAGCGCTTGAAAACGCCCCGATGTCACCTCTGCTAAAAACGCACAGGTTTGTAATTCTAGTCTTAAACTTCAACACCAAGATGCACTTCGATGTTTTCTCCTGTTCATCTCGCAATATCAAATCTAGTATTCAATAAGCTGTTTCGTTGTTTCTGCTCCTCCATGTATTGAAGTTGCGCCATATTTTACGGTTACACATTAAATTTTGACGAAGTGACATCTTTGTTTTAGTCTGTAACGTTGGCAATAACGAATCGGGTAGTAATTCTGGTAAAACTCGGGACCATATTCAGAGCTGTTGTTCACATATCTAGATAATTTTACTGAGTTGGAATTGACACTAAATAATAGAAAGTACACAGAGAAAATTATTATACGAGGGTTGTATCAAAAATAGTGTTCCCAACGTGATTATTGAAGAAATCTGGCAACACGGTCGTGTTTGTCGGCTCCCTCACCACCGATACCAATAAGAAGCGCCTATTGGCGATGTTCAGTACCGGCCAGACAGCCATGCGCATCGCCGTCACCGCCAGGTGGGAAATTTCGTGGGGTCATGCAATTTTTGCACGCCAAAACGTTACCACCCATAGAAATTGATCGCCAGTTGATTGAAGTATATGGAAAACGTAGTATAAGCTTTAAAATGTCCTCAAATGGTGAAGAGAGTTCTTTGACGGCCGCATGGACATCCACGATGAACAACGAAGCGAGAGGCCGTCGATCTCCAAGGAAGTTATGACGAAGATGAAGCAAATCTTGCTCTGAAGATAGGCGAATCACAATGCGGGAACAGGCGGTTGAAATTGCTGTGGCTTCTGAAGAAGCTGAGACGGGCAATCCAAAATCCTCGTGGGGAAAAACTCAGCAAAGCGTAAGACAATCCGCATCCTCACGTCTCACAACAAAAGAAGGGCTGAATCGAGCGATTTGGCTGGGAAGTCATTGCCCCATCCCTCACAGCCCTAAAATTGTAGGAGCAGCTAGGCGGTCAATGGTTTGAGACGGACGAGGTTGCAAGGAGTAGTTACCAAGTTTCCAAGCGGGCTGGTGGCGGACTTCCTTGAGGTGAGAGTGAAAAACTGGATTCCGCGTCTAAAAATGTCGACTATATAGAAAAATAGCCTAAAGATCAACGTTTCAAATGATAAATTCGTTTCATCAAATAAAAAATTCCTTGTGCCTGAAAAAAATGTGGGAACCTTATTTTTGAGACATACATATAATAAATACATCTGGGATTTATTGATTACAAGTCAATAGAACAGACTGCATCGTCCTTTCCAGTAGCTGTAATTTTACCTGTAAAAATAATGTAACACGTTTTTCTGGTTAATTGTCCGTCATCAGTGCAACGTAATTCAAATATGGCCGTTTCATTGCTCTTTAAAATCATATGGTGTTTCAAGTTCCAAAAAGCAGAGATGATTAAGATAGTTTAAAACAGTTTATTATAGTAATGGGCATTAGCAGCCATTTTGCTTATAGCGTTTTTTTGTATATGGGTGAACTTTCCTAAATAGAAAACTGAAGCAAACTTAAAGACCCCAGCCAAGAAACTTCAATGAACGTTGAGCACATTGAAGACCGGTTCTATGCAAACCGGCTAGTCTTAAACAAATTTTAGATCGCCAAGTATCTAAGTTAAACATTGAACCTAGCTTCACACGACACCGAAATGTATTTTGATATTATTTCATTTTAAAGTGACATTCAAAGAATAAAATCTAAATTTTAGTTACAATATTTACATTTACCTCTAATATCGGTTTTGTCACAGGTTATCAGAACCGTACATGCAGAGGCAGAATCATACACCAGACCTCGTAATGGATCTACCATTGATCGGAAGCCAAAGTCCCAAAGAGCAGATCACGAAATCCATGTCTGTGATTGGTACAATGTACCCTGACAGTTCTCCAGAAGAAGAATCTGCTAGCACAAAACCTCCGGACAATTCAAGCGGAGCTGACAGTCCTGATATGCAGACTGCAGCAGAAACTTTTGCTAAACAGAATCAGTGCACTTTGAAGAAAAACAAAAAGGTATGTTACAATAGGCTATTTGACTCCTATCTAATGTCATAGAATAATTATTTCTTACAGTATTTTGTTCATAAAAATGCGAAAGATCGATATACAAGTCCAATTAAAAAAAATATGATTTTTTACATGCTGACAATTTACCATTTCCGCAGCTTTTTTATGGGATATACACAAGCAATCTAATACAACTAGAAGGTTGGCAATGAAAATTATAATGTATTTTACAGGTATATTCGCACGAGAGCCCAGAATACGTAATGATAACTAGTCCTATGCCAGATAGGAAATACGCTACGCTAGGTAGCACCACAACGCCCTCAACAACAACTTTCAAACCCCAACCAAAAACCAAACCCATGGTACTAAAGAAACCCGTTTTTGCGGTGCCTTTAAGGTCAGTTTCTATAGAAATGATGTGCAAGGACACCCCAGATCTTCCAACTTAAGTAGTTTTTATTTCGTGTTTTCTCAGTGTATACATTTGACGGTCTAAGCGTTGATGAACGAATTGATCAGGTTCAGTCTTGAAGAAAAATATCAAAACATTGTTGGATTGCACAGCGTTGTTCAGAAGTTATAAGTATATCCGATTTTCAGTTCAAATTTAAAATTTAATGAAACATTTATGTCTGGGGAATTACAAATTTTGTGGTATAATATTATATTCTTTTCTTTTTTTATCAAGTAATCTGACCAAATCGTTCTCTAGCGTATCAATATGCCGGGTGTTTCAAATGGTGAAATGAGGCCAAAGTCGAGCATTTAGGTAACTGGAAAGTTTTACAATTCAGAATATTTCCGGAGATACAAAAGAAACCGAATTTTCCCAATTCCTTCCTGGCTTTATTTGAGGTAAGATTTTTAAAGTAAATGCACATTAATACGGTATTTTTGTTTTGCCTTACATGGAGATATAATCGGAATTCCAATATGACATTTCGTCTATCGTTTTCCATCATCAGCTTCAATTTTTTTCTTATGGACGCGATATTGGAATTTAACATAGGTGAGTTATTCAGTCTGATTTCAAAATGTCATGTACTAATGTTGTAAAATTATAATTATTTGACAAAAAACATTATTTTCGTAACAGGCTTTGAAATTATCAGATAATTTGTTTTATAATTTCCTTAGATGGAAGAAACCGAATTTTTCCCAAAATCGTCTTAGTTTCTTCCTGACTTTATTTGAAGTAAGATTTTTAAGTAAAATACACATTAATTTTTCTCCTTTACAAGGTGATATAATTAGAATTCCAATATGACATCATCAGCTTCATTTTTTTATGTACACCAAAAATGTATGTCATATATTGTAAAACTATAATTATTTGAAAATAAAAAAAAAACATTTTATCTTTACTATGCCATGAAAGTATCATTTGTTTCATAATTTCATCCGTCATACATTTATTTTTTTTTGAACCTGGACATAGGTAAACAGTGCCAGGAGAAAGTCAAGCTATGGCTTAAGTCAGGCTGTACTCAAGCTATGAGAAAATGAAAAACGATGTTGGGAAAATTCGGAAATAATCTGAATGCGATTTTCTTGGTGACGTAAATGCGCCATTTTGCATCCATTACCTTACCTGTTCTGCGATCGTAAAGATGACTGTCGAATTTGAAACAACCGAACTGCTAACATATTGTATCCAGCGACTGTTTTTTATAATAGTATTTCTAACACGAAAAAAGGTTGTAACGGTAGCAGAAGGAAATATTGATTTACAATCCGCGTAGGGTTAATGTCTTGACCAAGAAATTATAGTTTATATGAGGTTGGTTCCAAATATTCAGCCCATAGTAGATTTTGGCCATTGGCATATCTATCGGGAGATATGAGATTGTGATTCATTGAACTTACTCAAGGCTGATCATCTGTTTTGAATAGTATTGAAGAGTCGCATTCTAAAAATTAAATTTTTGCTTGGTTCTTTGAGTCAGATATTTCAAAAGCCTTCTTTGTTTGAATGTTACAAATTTTGATCACACGTTTGTATTAGGGAATACATGGCAATTGACTAAGTAAGCTAGTGAAGTAAGCAGCAACGTTAGACAATAATGGCATAGTTTACAAGATATTTTTCGAATTAATCTTTTAAGGAGTATTTTTGGATCACAACTAATTCTAAAGAAATTGCGATTGTAGATAGTAACGATACTAGCATTATTCTTCAACAGAGGTTTGAAAATATTCGAATAATTTTGCGTTACTAAGTCCTCTCGTAGATAAAAATTGTTTACCTAAGTCAGGGTGTTATATGTTTTGCGTTTGTAACTTGAACATTTCTATATAATAGCCATATTGTGGATAAATGCTGTAGAAAGTTTTGGAACCAACTGCAACGTGTTTTGATCAAATGTGTAAATGCTGGTGTCAGGTGTACAAGATGCAAAAATTTGCTTATGAGGAGAAACAGAAATAATGTCGCATTGCTTTTAGCCAACAAAACAAGCAAAAATCATGACGCATACATTTATTATTCCACATGCCTCAGCTTCTGAGATAAACAACTCAATAGTGTGCTCAAAATTGTTGTGCCAAGCTTTTATATCTCCGAACGCATCAAACGTCTGTTTGAAATCGTGTGGCACATACATAACTGAAAGTCAAATATGTTGAAAACTCAAAATGTTTATTTTTTGTTTAAGATCTTTTTAAATTCGAACACATCCACTTCAAACTCCATTTGGATGAGGTTTTATTTGAAAGCCTTAGATGAACTTTGGACATATCAAGTCAAAAAAGTCACACAATTTGACTTTCAGATACATCTGTCAATGTACCATGGCATCATATTTTGAACTGATAGACTGATTTTTGAATATATGTATAACCTATAGTGGCATGTACTCATAATATTTGTAATCTTTTATTTCAGTGATATATAAATTTTGAGCCTAGGTTTCCTTATATTGTGAGGTTCTTCCACTTCACTCTATTCAAATAATTAAAACGACTGAAACTGAAACTTCATTTAACATTTTGAAACATAGTTGCTCGAATGATGTGTTTCATCTCAAATGGTACTATTGAGACCTAGGCTTTAAGTTTTTTATTTTGCGTGAATGTACTACTATTTTAACTTTTATTAAAAAGTTCCTTCAGTTGTATTTTATGTGGCCTTAGTCAAAGAGGGTAATTTTTAGAATAGATTATATATATATTTTGTTCGTTTATACTCTGTGGAAGATCATCAAAATAGAAGCATAGAACATCAGTCGATTCCAAAATATGATGCTAATTTCAATTTAATTATCAGCGGTCTTCTATTTCTGTCATAATAAAACTATACCTTTGAAAGACTGATCTCATAATCAGCTGTATCTATGCTTCTACTGTGAACCTTCTGTTGTCCAACTGTATATATGTTGGAATTATACATCTATAATTTTTACTTATTTTTAGCTACTTTTGTGTTACACATGATACGAAGTGAAATATTTTGTATTTTAAAATTTCAATATGTCAAGCTTCATTTAAAGGCTTGGTGTTCTTTGAACCTATGTATTGGCAATGTAGCAACTATGTACAGGGTTTTACTATACTACATCTTCATGTAATGTTTGCAGAATATATTTATGTGGATATACCTTATTATCAGAGGCAGAAATTACATCATAAGTCTTATTCGAAACTACATGTGATTTATCTGATATTTTAAATGAATATATCAATCATATACAGCATACGTGTTTTATTTACAATCACCAAAAAGTAAAAAGTTTGCGGAAAATAAGATCACTGAGGATAAGCCTTGCCGATTCCCTTATCCTGGAATAAAATTATTCTTTCTTTGAATTGCACGGGTAAAGGTTTTCTATCAGTGTGACAGGAACGCCAGGACAAGGAAGAGGCCACACTGCTCCTAATAAAAAATTGGCGAGAAGACTATATCATTCTTGCTGTTTCTGTTATCTTAATACAGAATTCTTAGTCTTTGAAAATTATGTGACAGCGTTAATTCTCAAATCGTGTTGGCAAAAATTTGGTATCGGGATCACAGAAATACGAGACGGAATGGGACAGCTATTCAGCTCCAATACAAAGCTGGCGGAAAAACTATACAGATCACCAAGGTGAATACTTTCTCTTATCCCAATACAGATCGCAGGAGCTGGAGGATATTTCACACTACAATATGGAAATACTCACACAGCATACGTGCTTTATTTACAATCTCCCACAAGTCCAAAAACTGCCTTTAAAAACAGGAACAGAATGTATCAGGATCGCAGAAACGGAGATGCTCCTATCCAAAGTTTGCGGAAAATATCACTGAGGTGAATACGCCTTACCGATTCCCTTATCCTGAAATAGAATTTTTGTTTCTTTGAATTGCACTGGTAAAGCTTTTCTATCAGAGTCACAGCAACGCCAGGACATATGGAAGAGGCCTCACTGCTCCTGATAAAAAATTGGCGAGAAGACTATATCGTTCTTGCTGTTGCTGTTATCTTAATACAGAATTTTTAGTCTTTGAAAATTATATATTTGACAGCGTTAATTCTCAAATTGTGTTGGCAAAAATTTGCTATCGAGATCACAGAAATACGAGACGGAATGGAAAAGACCATTCAACTTCCAATACAAAGCTGGCGGAAAAACTAGTCATGTGTCGTTCGCGAACGAGTCGTTCAAAATGAACGACTCATCTATGTGAGCGATGTTTGAACGACTCTTTTGTTACATGTGATTCATTCAATTGTGCAAAGCGTGTCTGTACGTCTGCAGTATCCAGCAACTGAACTGCGAACTGACAACAGACACAATCTAGGGAACCTGGTTGTTTTGTTTTGAGATGTCTCATTAAATTATACGCTGAAATGATGGGATTTGAGAGCAAAAATTGCATTTTGATTCAGAATTCGGTGATTCCTCAAAACCGAACCACATATCCCTTCTTTTTTCGGAAGAATGTATACATTCGTTACATTCAATTTCAACCAAAAATATTAACACTTAAATAAATACAATAACATCGGAAACCCTAACCCTGCATTTCATTTTCATAGTATATATATATTCTGACTCAGTGAGTCGTTACTATAGGCAACACAATAGTCTCGTCAGCTTCTAGGCCGGTCGGTAATTCTATCGTTCAAATGAACGACTCCGAACAAATGACTCACTGAAGAGAGATGAACGAAATGAGCGAGCTCAGAGAAAATAGTCGTACGTCTCAGGCCTAGGAAGTGATCGCAGGAACAGGAGGATATATTTCACATTACAATATGTCAATACTCTGATCAATAAGCACTAAAAAAGTAAACGAAACCCTCATTTAATAATAAGGCGAATGAAGCTTTCAACAGTAGCATAGACAAGAAACACTTTTGAAGATATGATACCATATCACAGCCGACGTCAACTACGAGCCGTTATGAAAGAAAGGCAACACCGCGCTCGGACGGCATGGTAGTGCTACCTGTGAACGTCGGCCGCCAGCGGCTGTGTGCTCCGTCTCCGAGTAACGTTCAAGAACTAAATTTAATTTTGGAAAAGAGGACAGTTCGATTCGATACAAATCGTCTGAATATGAAATAGCTCTAAAAAATTTAAAAATACGAAATAATCGTGATATATATGAGTCGCTAATGCAGTTAACCTAATTAAAAGTATTTAGTTTACGTTTTTTGGTGTCAGCACACTGTGTTCCAACAGGTCCAGCTTGGAAATGTGGAGTTACCCGTTTGTTTTTAATACATTTATTTTTCAATTTTACATAATCATTCAAAATTATGTTTGAAAAAATAGACAAAAGCTTAGATAAAATATCTGCATAATTGTGGCAAGTTAAAGAAAATTCACTGTATATAAAGTCAGACTGAATGCTGAGCAAGGTTAACGGACACAAAATAAAATTTTTATTATTGCTTTTCAAGAAGAAAATTTCCAATCTATCTACATTAATAATAGATTCAAAAATGGCATACATATGGTAGAATATGATTGGTACATAACTGGTTGGAATTGACAGTCCTCCTCTTTGAAAATGATCAAAATAAACATTTGTTGTTAATGAACCTTTTTCTTTAACTATTAGCGATTTGCATATCTCGCAGTTTAGGTTCTTAGAGATAGCGTGTGAAGCATATCCAGATATATAGGTCTTAGTACTATCCTCTATGTCACAATTGGCTAAGTAATTTGTCTCAAATACTTCATTGAATATATCCAAAACTTCAGGATTTTGTTTGGTATCCAAGAAATCAAAATTTTCTTGAGTTTCTAAGTTTCTAAGTTTTGGAACCTTGTTTTAATTTCTGCTAAAGAAAATGACGATTTCTTTTCATTGAACATATGCTTCAGCCGTATTTTCTTTTCAGCATTTAAAATTTCATCATATGACACATTGTAATTGCAGCCACATAAAAGTCTATAATTGCCAAATCGTTTTTCTAAATTATCAGTGGTGAATTTTCCAGGCAATACATACTCAATGTCAAATTGATTAAATGAATATTCAATTATATTAAGTAGAGTCAGCGTGCTTTGATATAGAGCTGTATACGTTTCTGGTGTCAGGTGTCCATTATTATTCTCTAGATTATGCCATTTTTCTAACCATATCAGCCATTTTTTTAAAAATTGTACTCTATAATCATATTTATTGGTAATAGGCTTACAAAATTCGTTTCGCTCCAATTCTCCTTTTATTACACTTGTATTACTGACAATCCCAGCAATTCCTGATTATTTCCAAAAAGTGTGCAGCATCATTAAACTTTAATTCTTTCATAGCAGCTATTGTTGAGTGATGGAATAAATTATCTACAAAATTTACATTTTGACTTTCAAATGAATTTGGATGCAATGTTTTATAATTTAATTTATATGCTTTCTTAACTACAGCTTCTTTTTCCAATTGATATACAGCATACAGCACGAATGTTTCCAAATTTAGCATACTGAATAATATCATTATTGTCAAAATTAGGATATACAAAAGTTTTGTCTAGGTTTTTTAAATTAATCCAATTATTTCTGATACTCTTGAAAATATGCACAACATCATAAGTTACATATATGTTCTTATCAGGTTTATGTGGATTTGGAATAGAATAATTTTCTGATGAATCCTTTGCTAATTTCCTGAACATCGCTCTATTAATTCGTGATTATCAGTAACAACACAAATAACTTCAAATCCACATTTTTGAACTAAATTTATCACATGTTCAACCAAAGGTGTCATTTCATCACCTGTTACATTTGAAACTGATAGTAATTTGATAAGTTGATAGTTGACGTCGGCTGTGACCGTATCTATTACATGAAATTTTGTGTAGTATATGGCAGCATAGCTATACGTACAGCGCCATCTAATGCCCGAATGTTTAATCTAATTTTACGACAAAATTAAAATAGAAAATTATGATGCGGTCATTGGGACTTTCAAACTCCACAAGAGAGGGCGACACAGGTAAAAATTCAGTAAATTTAAATTTATTTATCAGTCTTTGGTCTACGTTCATGGAGCATGAATAATGTAGTCGGAGCGGCAGCACCCCAAACGTGTGAGCAATACTTGAGGCTAGTTCTTATCTAGGCTTTCTTCTCTGTCGTTCACAGCCAGAGATCGGCTTGCCACTCAGAATAATGTTGGAGCCAAGACCGATCACTGGGAAGTACCCGCGTTGACGTTCTGGGATGAAGAGAACCCGTCCATTACGACGAACATCTTGCGGTCAGAGAGGAAGTCAACCACTCATCTGCAAATCTTCTCTGGGAGTCCATAGGATGGAAGTTGGAACAAGTGGGCAGCATGCCACACCGATCTAACGCTTTCGTGCTATCAAGAACAATGGGTCTATTGAATAAAAAAAATATTTGCTTATACTTCATGTTATTTGAGTAACTACTTTATAAAGAAGAGTCTACTCATAGTATTAAGTTCACCATTCGACAGTATGTAAAAATGTAGATTATGTTGCTGACAGAATATATGGAAAAGCCCATCAGGATAAAGATAAAGAACTGGAGGGCATAGAAGAAGCAAGAATAAAATGGTCGAATCGATTTGTTACACCTACTGTCATCAGGCATTAGACTGTACTCATGTCAAAATCAAAAAGCCTTCAGATTTTGGTGACTAATATGTCAATAGAAACGGATTAGCGAGTATAAATGTACAAGTAAGTTGTGTCCATTTAAAAACCCTCAAAACAGAAGAGAGGAACTATTCAATATTTCCTATTCCAAAAAAAGAGTCACAATTGAAAGAGTATTTGGCAGCTGAAACAGACGGTCTCCCATTTTGAATCATAAAGTGAAAGTATCTTTGGCAAAAGTTGCAAAAATTATTGAATGCCGCGCTGATCTACATAACATTTGCAAATATCTACGGGATGACTTTGCGATCGAAGAAAATTAAATAAACCGCCCCGAGGACTTACATGACGTGTCCTAAAAGGTGCAGAAAAACGTCAGCAATAGTGGTAATGTTTAGCCATATTGTTTAAAATGATTCTAGTTTTAACCTGAATTTGTCATCATATGTGTAATACCATAAACAAAATGTGCTTTATTTATGATAATATTGAAATAAGTAACAAGTTTCTGTAGTTGTATTTATTAATGAATCCTTATATATTGTGTATTACAAATCTATGAATTCTCGTAACTCGTTCAGTATTTTCTTCTTTCTTAGAACTATTTGTAGGATAGAGGTTTGGCACAGCA